CAACAACTAAAACATCGGTGTGTTATCAACATTGTTCTTGTCCTAAATCCAAAACACAGCACTGTACCAGCTACTAGGAAGGAAATTAACTCTATCCCTGCCGAAACCAGGACACCCTTGTAAATATCCATCCCTTGAAACAACGAACTGGCAGTCTCTGTTTTCGCGAGACCAAAATCAGGGATGACATTTTTAAGTTATGATACAGGCACGCTTGCTCGACAGCTATTTCCAGACAACTTGAACTGTATGAACATACAGGATTGCATTTTCTGAAATGTAAGAATTGCAGCTCTACTGAGTTGTTGATTTGTGGGGTACAGTGCACAGCGTGCTTTAAGGATTTTCTTCTGCCACCCCCTGAATTTCCAGAAAATAAATGAACACAGGTTTTCATGCTAGGGAAGTGAAGGAAGTTTCTCAAAGTGAATCCTGAAGACAAGGTATCACCCCATAGCTGTTCAGTTCATAGGGAGAGATGTCCTTGAGAAAGACTGAAGTTTTTTGTTCCTTGTAGGTATCCAAAGGAGCAACAAGCTATTCTTGTCCAGAATGTTTTTCTCACTGGTGGAAATACAATGTACCCTGGGCTGAAAGCCAGAGTCCAGAAGGAACTCCTCGAAATGAGGCCGTTCCAGTCGTCTTTTCAGGTACATGTATTGACATGATGGTTCCGTGAACAGTTCGTTCATCAATGCTCAAAAGTAATGCAGGCTGGGAGAGGTACAGAGCGGGGGTACTTGGAGCATGGGAATGGAGAGTGGTTTATAAGACACTGAAAACAGCTGTTTTGACCTGAGAAAATGAAGGTTAAGCAAAGATACCGTTGCTCTAAGACATTAGGGAGAGTAGGGTAGATGCCTTGGAAAAAGAAAACCTGCTTCAGCTAAAGGACCATGCACACACAAGCATGTTGGGCTGGAAATTCGCAGATTGATTTCTTAGGATTGGGACAGTTACTATCTGAACAAGCAACCTGTGTTAGGAGTAGTTGCTGGGAAAAACTGTGCTCACTTCAAAACTAAGTTACATGTTCAATTTGTTACATGTAATGACTGTCTGGGATAGCAGCAAAAGAGATTCAGTGAGTATCTTACAAACCTGTGGTCCCTTGCTACGTTTTTAGTAACAAGCACAGCACAAGCTGGGCAAGTCCCAGTGCTTGCCATGCGTTTTGTAAGGAGACTTGCAAGACTCTCCCTTGCTGTTCTGAAACCACCTTGTGTTCTCAAATCTACTAACTTCTTGAACAGAAAATCAGGTTATAAACTGGGGAGAGGAAAAAAAATCAGTGCAAATATAATCTTGTGATTCCACAACCCTTGTTTTGTACAGTTATTGCACGTAGCTTGAGCCAGGTGTGACTGACAAACTTAGTTACAGCCATATACTTGGTAGTTTTAGGAAGGATATTGCTTGCTAAGTTTTGAGTGTGTAACTTGTGTCTATAGGAAGAAAACGCGCACGTTTTCTTCTGCTTTTAATGTCGCTGCTTGTGACTGAATAAGAGCTTCCTTCTTCCCATTAAAATATGGCCTGTAGTGTGGTCCTAACAGAAATCTGTCACATCACAGATACCGCACATGGGATTTACGCAGTGTCTAGTCTAGCAAGCCCATAGCTGAACCAGGAAAGCAGTTCATGCTACAGTAATAGGAATAATTTAAATGGAAGTATGAATCTACACCAGTGGAAAGAGTACGTGTGGTCCTTTCCCACATACAGCGATTTCTTAGCCTGCGGTATTCCTCCCTGCTACTTCAAGCAGGGAGGAAGTTTTGCTGGAGCGCTTGATACTTGTTTTGCAGTACCACCAACTCTTCCAGCATTGGCTTCCAGCTGTGAGGGCTGTTGGTTGTGAATGTGATACACCCAGGTGCTTTCTCAACCTGTAGAAACACAGTAGGCTCATGGAGAATTGATCTCAAGGTGAAAACACACTTCAAACCCATTCCTAACATTACTGTTCCCCAGAGGCACTGAATAATCAGCTCAAACTTGGGAAATTCAGTGGGTTTTGTCATATACTACTGTAATCAGGGTAAAAAGGGCTTTTCTCTCCTGTGTTGAATTGACGTCCTTGTTCTGTTTTCGTTCCATCCAGGTTCACCTTGCTTCCAGTCCTGTTTTAGATGCCTGGTATGGGGCTAGGGATTGGGCAGTGGAATACATGACCCGTGAGGAAGGCTGGATAACCAGAAAAGACTATGAAGAAAAAGGGGGAGAATACCTCAAGGAACACTGTGCTTCAAATGTCTATGTACCCATTCGCCTTCCAAAGCAGGCCCCACGGACAACAGAGGCATTAGCACCTAGCAGAGTGCTGACATCCAGCACAGGCAATCCTTGTGAGCAGGCGTAGCACCGCGCCTTCGTCACAGACCCTCGGATGGAGATAATAGTGCAGAGAAAAGAAGAGTTACTGGGCTGCAGTATGAGCTGTGCATGGAGTGCAGGCTTCAGCCTAGCCTTGCTGGCTGCTCAGAGAGCACTAAGCATCTCATCCAGTCACTTGAACGAGGAGGACAAGCCATGGTGGGGCGTCAGCTGGAATGGTCGTAGCACTTGCAACGCTTAGTGCTGCTCATGCATAGCACGGGAGTATGCATCAGCAAGGAGGAGCACAACAGAAGTGCGTTCCAGAGAAAAATACCATCTTACAAAGCGTCATAGTGAGACTCAGGGGTTTTTGAGAGTATATGTTTTACAGCTTTTTTTTATTTAATTAAAATGTACTGGTTTTATACGGCTTTTATTGCATGATCCAGAGGCTGGGCTTGTACCAAGCGAGTCAGGCCAGCAGGCGTCCCCCTCGCTCGTCGCCACGAGCATTTGTCAGGGCGTGTTGGTCAGGACGCATCGTGCTGCTGGCGGCGGGAGGGGCTGATCTGTGTCTTTCCTCCTGAGGCCTCCTGCACTCGTGTCTTGTTCGATTTCATTCCTGTTACACACTTTCTGCTAAATCACTGCCGAATAAGTGGTGGGATTTCAGATACTTTCTTGCTTCATTTGTGTCAATAACATTGATGTCTTGGTTCGAAACTGGACACCTGGTCACATAACTGGTCACATAAAGCACTGTCCAGCTATAAAGACAGAACCCTCCATAAAGCGCGGTCCAGAAGGGCTGCCAAACCTTGTGCGGTCCTTAAGGGGTTTTACAAGAGTGGTGGCTGAGCAAGGCAGCTCTTGACTGATGGGATGTTTTTATCAAGTTGTTTTAGCAATAAAGCAAACTTTTTGCTTTACCGCTAACTTACGTGTTTCAGTGGTTTGACCTCTTTAAAGAGTACAGCAATAAGGATGTATTTGATTGGTTGTACCCTGCTGAAAAATGCAGGTTTGCAGCCAGGCCCCTGTCATGCTGCACAACATACTGTAGCTTAAATTTGACTGGGGATTCAGTTGTCGCACTGAACAACTTGCTATTGCTTTCCCAAAAGAATAATCAATACTAAATGCTGAACTGAAACCTAAGCAGACTCCATCACTTTGGCAAAAGCTGTAAACTATGAGGCTGGAAAAGGTAAGGCTATGGGGAAAATATCCAGACCATAACTGGTATAAAGACAGTGAAGAGGCGGTGGCTTACTGTCCCCAAGGGCTGCAGAGCATCAAGATAAGTTGTCATCTGGCAGAGTCAAAACAAAGGACACAAGGTGCTCGTTGGTGTTGAAGTAAGGAGTTTGTTGCCACAGGATGCGATACACACATTTCTGGATTCGAAAAGTATTTTTCAGATCTACGATTTAAAAAAAGAACCTGCTATCACACACGGAGGTCTCACCTGTGTGTAGGAAGTCCTGCAGTCGCGTATTCCTCGGCGAGCGTATGAGAGAAGTGGTGTTACGGACCTGTTCTCTTACACAGTTCCTGCGGCACCCAGCACTGGTCGCTCCCAGGTGGGATACAGGTCTTGGTGGTCCTTTGGCGTGGTCCTAACAGGCTTGTTGGGCAGGGGGAGGAGGAGGAGAAGGGAGCTTGCTGCCTTCAGGTAGCCTCAGGTTTGGACTATTGATCCTATCCCTAGCTGCCTGGAGGCATACTAATTTTCAGGACCATTAAGGCAATTCTATGGGCAGTAAAGAATGTGGAAAAACGTGCTCTGCTGAAACACGGCAAAGTTACACCCCAGCAGTGTCTTTTCTGATCTCCGTTCAGATCAGTGGCCTGGAGTAGAGTCTATGATGTGCCATTGCTATTTGACCCCTTTCTGACGCATCTTTAGCTGTAATGGCAGAGTGGCTACTCAAGATACAGAAATCTGTTCTGATACTGGGTGTGGGATGCTAAATACATAAGAGGGTGTTGTGCATAAAACTGTTCTGGAATGAGGGCCTAAAAGGGTATCCGTAGCAGATGGTTATATTACTATTAAATGTTTGGCCAAATTGTGCCAACCACTTCACTTGCATTAATTCAAAGCAGAGCTGTCTAATTCTGTACAGAGATGCCAGATCAGCTGCTTAAGCAGCTTCAAGGAAGCATAATTTTATAATCTCCTAAATGTTAGCTGTTAATTTGTTACTTTAGCCCCACAATAGCTGGAGTAACTAATGAACTTGGACAACGTGATCACAGTCACAGGCTGTCCTGAATGTGCTGGTGGGCATTCAGTTGCTTGGAGTAGCACCATGAAAAGCGTGAACATTGCAAAATGGGATTAATTTTACCCATTTAAGTTCAGTTCCCCCATACGATTTGCTGTGGCGCTACGTGAGCATTGCTGCTGGCAGGAGAAAAATGGAAGGAGTGCGTGGTGCCGAGGGCAGGAGGACACAACGGCGTTATTTTTGACAGTAGCGTTGGTCGGAGTCCTTGTGGAGCTCCACCATTGTGACACTTGTGGCAAGGTTTTCTCATACCCACGTGCAGAATTTGGTGGTTTTCCATATAAGTGGCACAGGGCTCACCAAACCCAGAAGGGACTTGGACTATTTCTTCTGTGCATTGGCTTATGCCACCTGAGAGGGGAGCAGGCCAATAAGGCACCTGCTTGGCTCCTTTTTAACGGGACTTCTGGTTGTGTGAGGAGCAGTAGGAGGAATTGTTACAAGGAGAAAACTGTTGACTGAAAAAAAGATCATTCTGGGGACAGGAAACTTGAACTGACGCTGTGAGGGCCTTTGCCAGGCGATCGCAGGGCTGCTGTTGAGTGAGCTGCTGTGCAAGCAGCCTCAAAGTCTGTAGTGTGTTTATCCTGGAAGGTGTCCTGCGAGCTGACAAAGTACAATTGCCGGCTCAAAGATGGTGAAGTGGTTCCCATTTGGTCCTCAGTATATTAAGTTAAAAGCAACCTGTAACCTTATTATACAATTCAGTTACCACCTGATTCAGGTCAAAGAATACAAAAGTACAAGTTGCAATTTAACAGGCGTGGGAGCTTGGTCTATTTAATCTAAAAGAGAGCTCAAACTGGGTTCCCCCTTTCGCAGGGTCCCTAAGACCTGCTCCGAGTGGAAACGCCACGTCAGTGAGAAGCCCTGGAGACTAAACATAGATCACGTGCTTAATGTCCCAGATTTCCGTTTGAGCTGCGTACGAGCCTTGCTTTTGGTCTTCAAGGCTTCTTACGTTTCCTGTGCCATAGCGACTTCAAACACGAACCGTTCTTTGCTAAATCTCCGCTAGGACACCAAGATTAGAACTCTTTGCTCCAGTTATTAATCTCCAAAATACTTAATGTGCTGTGTAAGACAGCATTTCAGAAGAAAGAGAAGACGCCCGTGAACTGTCACTTGAAATTTAGGATTATCCCTCCAGAGACAGCCTGCAATGATCCTCTAGCAGCCAGTCATAAACCAGAAGTTTTGAAGCTTGTGTGGGATGGGCAGGGGAGGGGAGAGTGCTGTAATGGATTTAACATCATCCCCAAAGTCATATGGTGGGATTTCCACCCCGGTTCGATGTCAGGCACAGAGCAGCTGTGCTGATTCCCATTGCTCACTCCTACTGCTTCGTGCGGATAGCGAGCCACTCCCTGAGCATCAGCTTCAAGAAAACGTCTCAGTTTTAAATGGCTCAAACCCCCAGCATGGTTTTCCGAGAGTTCTTCAGGTTTCTTTCGCTCCCTCTTTTCAGGTACTCGGTTTCCTATATTTAGTTGACAAACACCTTTCCCCCCCTCTTGTTCATCACAGGAGCCCAGCCCCACCTCTTAGGGCGGCAAAGCGCCATAGTTTCAAGTTTTTTGGTTTGTTTTTTTTTAATTTTTTAATTGTATTGATTTTTTACAGCCTTAGGGAATCTTTTTTCCTCTTTGAGCAGTGGGCTTGGTTTCCATTTCCTAATGCAACAGGGACCATGATGAGAGTACTACACTGAGAGCCAGGAGACCTGGGTCCATTTTCGTGTCTGTTTACTCACGACAAGCCATGGCTGTTTGCTCTGGCCTCAGTTCTGTGCCTCAGCATCTGTAACAGCAAAGCTAACCTGAGGATGGTGCTAGCAGAGAGTTTCACAGCGTGCGTAATTACTGTAGAAGAGAGTAAAGGTGGTGGGAAGGCTGGAAAGGGGTTTCTGGGAAAGGAGGGGAGGTCAAATAAAATCATGGAGAATAGGTCCTTCTATGCTTAATGCACAATGGGCCGAGTGGAAGGTCTTCAAACCACTCACTGCCTGAAGCTGGAAGAAGCATATAGTATGGTAAGAATCACTCCACGTAGGTATGCTTTTATCCTTAAGCAATTGCTATTGACGACTGTCAGATAAAATATGAAGCAAGCTGGATTTATGGTCTGACTCAGAAGCTTTTATGCTCTTAAAATTCCTGGGTTTAGGCAGGACAGTGGTTTTTGAGCTTTTTATTTATTTCAGGACTGAGGTGAAGTATGAAGAAGCTTCTCCCTTCATCTGTCAGGAAGTAAATGTGCTGTGCTGATGGCGAAAGCATCTTTTACGTTGGCAGTGAGATTCCGTGAAGGCATCCAGGTTCCTGCACTTCCAGTAGCCATAGTCAGGTGGTTAATATCAAGAAGATGCTCGTCCCCAGGGAAGCTCGGTGCACTGCTCTTGGCAGGTCTGTCTGGACAAATGAGCTTTACAACATGCAAGGAAAAAGTGTGGCTTTATTCAAACCTATGTCAAATGTATTCCCGAGGAGAGAAACCTTTGGAAAGCATCTAAGCTCCTCATGTTTGAACTACTTGGGAACATGGTGGACGATAAAGTCTTGGATAGCAGGAAAGCCACAGTGCATTGGGTGCCTTCCTTAGATGAAGGGCAAGGGTGCGTGGTGGACCTCTGGGTGGGAGAAGTTTTGAGGGGTGACGGCAACCTGCAGCCCCAAAAGCCTCATGGCTGCTGCGGTGGCACATGGAGGTGGCACATGGGGCTGCTGTGTAGGCACTTTCCTGAGTGCCCTGATGCTCAGGAGGGGTGGGAGGCTGTTGGCTGCAGCTGAGGCTGATTTTCCTCCTCTTCTCTCTAAATTATCACCCTGTTTCTGCACCTCTTCCTGGGGTATCCTCCATGCTCCTAAACGGCTCCATATGCCCAGTGGGAAAACTGTCCTGCACGAGCATGGGAGGCTGGGGACTCGCTGCCTTGTCTGAGGCTTGTTTGGAGGCGAGTTCGAGTCTGTGCAAGCAGTTTTTGGGTAGTCTTATCTTTCCACTAAAGATTTTGATGTGGAGATTTTGTCCTTCAGGGTGTTCTCACTCGCTTCAAAGGAGAATGGTAATAAATAAGAAAAACTAGCCTGCCTCGCTGACACTTGTTTCTGCGTTTGAACGGCAGCCCA